TAAATTAGATTAAATGGAAAATATTCTGTAAGGCATAACTTTCTAAAATTGACTCAAGAAATACATACAACAACAAAAAGATCTACGAAGAATTAAAGTAATTTAATTTGTAATTAAATACAGTTTTGGGTCAGTTCTGAAAGGTTTCACTGGTGAATTCTATCAAACATTTTCTCATTGACATTGAGTTGATTCCAACATCTTAGAAAGAAATAATATTGATCCTATATAAAATCTTTCATGTAATAAAATTATTAATTTGCTTGATGAAGTCACTATTTTATACTGACATGAAACACGACAAAGACACTCCAGGAGAACTATGGACAAATATTCTTATCAATAAACAAAATGGTAGCAAACTGAGCTGAGCCACTCTTAAGCAGTTGGTTTAATTTTACAAAATAATTAATAAAGAGATAAAATGACAAAACCCAAAGGATTATCTCAGTAATTGCCGGGAAAACAAGGTTACTAATACAAACTACAAAATAGATGAATTTCAAATGCCTCCTGTTTAGCAAAAGAAAACCGACGTAACGGCCTACTTATTCTATAGAGTGTATATGTCCATGTCTCTGAAATTTTTAAATAAGGCAAAACTATAGAGACAAAATGGTCAGTGTTTTTTAGAGTTGGGGACTAGGTAAGGGTCGTGACCTCCATTGGTCAATGGGATTTTTGGGTTATTAGAGCAAAACCAAACTCACTGCCATGGAGTAAATGCTGACTCACAGGGACCCTGGAGGCCAGGGGGGAAGTGCCTCGGTATGTTTCTTCCATTGTAGCTCTTTACCGGAGTAGAAAGCCTGCCTTTCTCCTGCAGAGTGGCTGGTGGTTTTGAACTCCTGAGCTTCCAGTTAGCAGCCCAATGCGTAGCTATTATGCTACCAGGACTCCGTCAGGATTATTCGAAGTATTCTAAATTGGACTGTGGTGATTCTTGCACAATTATATGAATTTGCAAAGAATCATCAAACTATACACTACTTATGAGTGGAATATATATAGGCATGTATATATGTAATACATTTTCTCTATTGCGTAGTGGATTTATTAGGCTCTAAGGGGCTTTCTACTCCCTTAAACAGTTACAGTCTCAAAACTCACAGGGACAGTTCTACCCAGCCCTAAAGGGTCACCATTGACACAGTGGCAGTGAGTTTGATTTTTTTGGTTTCAGGGCCTCCTAAATTCAGAATCCACTCTGGAGTCCTGAGTTTTTTGTTTGCTTTTATTGTGAAACCCTGGTGCACGGCGTTATGAACAAGGTCAGCATTCCCAAACTACCAGCCTCTCCAAGAGAGAAGAAACACAAGCCTTTATACTCCCAGAAGGATAACCCACTGAGGTAGTTCCATTCTGTCTTACCGGGCTGTTGTGAGTCTGAATTTACTCGATGGCAGTAAGTTTATTCATCATACTACTGAGTTAAAACGTTTGAGTTAGGATGACCCAACAGGTTTACTGTCAGCTTTAAATACTAATATTTTGATTAATAAAAACTTTGTAAATGACATTTTTGCAATGAATTGGTTAACAGAAAAAAACTTTCTTAGATTTAATAAACAAAATACAAATAATTTTTGTTAAGATTTATTGTGTTCAAAGGTATTTTTAGTTATTCTTATTTTCAAGGGAATTAAAATAAAATTATATTCGTCATTACTTTCCATTTACTTGAATAAAACTCTGTGTAGTGACAAAAAGCAATTTGGTGTTAAAAATCAGGTTTGAGAACTTTCTTTTAAGAGTTATTTTCTTGAATAATTATCCCCACTTTGAGATTGCATTTTATTGCTATGCATGAATTATTAAACTTCAGGGACTAAGATACCAATTGAAGTAAATGACTAGATACAATCTTGTTCCTGTCTGCATTAAGCAGATTGAGACCAATATTTGTAATCATTTTACAAATGAGGACCTGCCCATGAAAGGGAGGTTTTTAAGTGTAGGGAATCACTTAATCATTAATAAGAAATAGTGATAACAAACCCTGAGAAGTCTTAGGAAGAGAGTGTTTGAAAAGTACCTAAAAGAAAAAAAAAAAGACAGCACAAGATAAGATGAAAAATTAATCTATAAAACCCAGAAAGCAGAAAACATTCACATTTATAAAAAAGTAGTCATCTGTGTCTTTCAATATTAAAGCGGGAAGCTTGAAAGTATATACATTCTAGGAGATGCCGGTGGGATGCAGCAAGAAGAATGCGGAAGGTGTCATTCTGCAAGATTCTGTCCTGACAGCTCATGCCAAAGAAAGTCACAAAAGAGGGGTTATGACTTTGTGGGACCACCCACCTCGTTCTCTTATGACACTGGAGTTGCTGGGTCATGGTACGCTCTGTATCAGAGCCAGCACTGCCCTCTGATGCTTGACGTCTTTACGCGCCTCTCTCCTAGATTCCAAAATGACTTTTGAGAGTCCTCTGAAGTCCCTTTATACTTCAGTGTCCTAGTTTGGTTAAGTGTTAGGACAAAAGCAATTGGTTTTAGTCAACCGCACTAACCCATACAAACATTTTTCCCAAGTCTGTTTATTTTTAACAATCTCACGGACATAATTCACATATCATAAACTTCGATCACATTCATAAAAGTGGTGTGACCATCATCACAGTCAATTCTATGACATTTCTTCCGTATACTCCTTGTCGCTAGCTCCCCATGTCTCATTAGCCTCCCCTGCCATGTCCCTTTGAATCTGTTGATCCAGTTATCGTCCATAAGGTTTGCCCAAACTGAGTTTCATATACAGAAAATCATACAAAATAAAGACGAATCCAAGCAAAGAGCCCAACAACAATGACACAATGAAACAAAGAAAAACTTCGATCAATAACACAGAAGAAAATATTAAAATCTAGAGCAGTGGTTCTCAATCTGTGGGTCGCGACCCCTTTGGAGGTCGAATGACCCTTTCACAGGGGTCGTCCCAGTCATAACAGTAGCAAAAATACACTGATGAAGTAGCAACAAAAAACAATTTTATGGTTGGGGGGTCACCACAACACGAGGAACTGTATGAAAGGGTCACGGCATTAGGAAGGTTGAGAACCACTGATGTAGAGCAATTATGCACTGGATCAAGAGGGAGATCAATGACACAAAGGTCACATTTGGACCTAACTCCAAAAGCAGTAATTTACACTGAAATGGGCTCTGTCTTATCACAAGGCCTTTCCCACCTCAGGTTCACAGTCAGAGGGTGTTCACCAGGTGCTTAATCTGGATGGGGGCGGGGGGACCTTGCAAATGGGTTTGGTGTTTTCATTGTCATCTGAACCCTTCTTGCAACTGGTGGTTCAGCATTGGAGCTATAATACCCTTCCTTCGTCCAGGTTTGGATTTTATTGTTTACAATTCTTTGATCACACGTGCTGGTGTGCTCCTTCCATGTGTGCTTAGTCAATGTTCCATTTAGATGGCTGCTTGTTTTAAGACTAGCCTTTAAGACTCCAGACACTATATTCTTTCTGATAGGTGGGCACCCTCTGCTATCTTCACCAGACTCTGCTACAGCACCCATATCCTCAGTGATCAATTCATGGGGGTAGGAACACATACAAACTTTTAATATACTTATAAGGCATTCCATTTTAAAATGAAGACATAGTGTCAAGGAGCCCTGGTAGTCCAGTGGGTCAAGTGTTGGACTGCTAACCACAAGATGGGCAGTTCAAGCCCACCAGGTGCTCTGAGGGAGAGAGATGAGCCTTTCTGCTTCTGTCTTTCCCAAACTGCTAATTTTTTTCATTATTGGTTTTTCCAACTCCTTTACCTACTTAAGTAATAACAGGGGCTGCTGCTAATCTCTGTTCTGTATCCCCTAAACATTGATGCTGATGGTGGAATTGTGTAAGTGGTGAAGTTGAACGTCCGATCTGTT